GCGACCAGTCTCAACAGAGACTTGCCATCTGCGTAGAACAGGATTATAGTATACGAGTGTGCGCAAACTCAGGCGCACACACTAATCCCTCACTCTCACAGTTAGATTAGACCGAAACTCGACTAGACTGGAGAGACATCAGGGGCAGGACCAACGGTCTTACTTGCTTTCGATATGGAGGTGAAACACCGCCAACTCTGGGCTGCTATTGAGTTTTTCTTTACAGAAAATCATTTTGGTCCAAAAATATATGATTTATACTTGTTAATTGGAATATAACAAAGTTTATGATTTACGTTTAAATGAACACTAGCAATGTTATATTAGAAATTTATAGATATTCTGTACAATGGAACTCTACACTACACGTATTCTTCACACTATAATCAGTCATATTTGAGCTTGAAATAATAAATAAAAGAAGGAAACTAATACATAAAAATGTTATCGTTATCATTGAATCCTGTTTCTAGTAAAACAGTGAAAAAAATAAACTATAAATACAATAAAGCTTGCTATAAATAACTTCAGTTTATGTATCCAACAGTGATTTGGATTTCAATAACTTAAATGCTATTCCTTATAAACTATAACTTATATTATAATTACATAAACTTGTCTCTTTTTTAACTGGGATATTACAAAGTAATCAAACATTAATTTACATTAGTTAGAGAAAATAAATAGTGTTATACCTATAAGGAAAACGTTTATTATTCGAGTCTTAACACGTGGGCGACGTGTTGCGACTCCGATGCAAGCAGGCAGTGGGAAATGGGAATGCGCCCTGCGACCTTGAGTGCATCGGGGAGGGCGGCAGGACCGCCAGGTAGAGCTTTTACGCTATTGTATATTGTAATAACGCATAACAAATTTTAATTCTAATTCTAATTCATAACAAATATATATATATATATATATATATATATATATATATATATATACCGCTAAAGGTGGTACAGATAAAATAATAAAATGTAAGTAAAATAATCTTACTTCCATTTTATTACCGTATGTTGTATATTATAAATTACACATATATATTATACAATATTATTTACTTTTATTCAATAACTTACAGTACGTAATATTTACAGTATATACGTACTGTAGGAGCAGTGTAAGAATATCCACTACTCCATGTCGTCCCATGCGTGTAGTAAGAAGTGACAGAGGGAAACAATCCAGGAGATCGGTAGCAGGATCTTCCTGATAAAAACTCGAAATAATAAAAAAATACAGGGGTGCCAACCCGCCTGCCAGGCGTGGCAACTATGCCAAAGTCGCCCCTATGAGACAATTTAGGAGAGAGACTTATGTTCAGTAGTGGCCTTTTGCGGGCTGTAATGGATGGATGGGTGAATGAATATTGTATAATATGGTACTATTCAATGATTTTTAAAAATGAAGTAATCACCTACGTAGTAGTAATCACGTAATGAAGTTCATAAAAATAATGCTTGAAGCGCTGCCAAGTCGTACTTTAATCTTTATGTACAAATAAATTACATATTATAATGTATAAAAAGAAATTATTGATGTATGATTAATTACCAAAAAGATTAATCAGCCTAAAGTACAGCATATTTAAACGTAAACTTAAGTATTTTGTTGAATTTAAAACATTTTACAAATTATGCGAATACATGTCAATACAACTCTTTTAATCATCATGCTTGTGTAAAGTGCAAACAAAATAACTTAACCTATTCTATAATGTAAAGCGGCAATGTAACTAAGTTAAGTTATAAAGTGTATTAATATAATTTGACCTCATAAATTTAAGAACTTGTTGTAAACAAGACTTGCCTTTTTTATAGAAAGAATAAGGGTAACAACCGAGCACACAGTCCACCTGATGGTAATAATATGCTGTGGCCCATAGACATCTACATTTATCCTCAATTAAGAAACAAAATGCAGATGCGTTAATAAAATAAATAAGAATAAGTGTTTCCAATTTAGGACAGAAAAAACATCAAGGACTAAGACTATGTGCGAGGAGAGGAAAAAAATCAAAAGAAATGCTTTATTACACAAATAATTATAACCCACTCACGCCATGAATAAAGTTATACTAGACATACAACTTTAATGAACAAAGCAAAAGACTTAAACGCGCAACAAAATGTAGCACGCAACGCATTGGAGTTTATAATTATTTTATAATAACATACGTGGACGTGGTCCTTCACATCTAGTCATATAAGGAAGCTCAAGGTCGCTCAGCAAGCTATCCAAGCTATGTAAATACATATTATTACTTTGTTATTGAACAGCACGTAAACGCAATTGAAATTAATTTTCTCTTGTATGATATGTATTAATGTAATAATTCTACATGAACTTGCCGATTTTGTTTCTATATTTATATACTTAATTTATATATATTTGCTTATAAACGATTAAATACTCAATTAAATTTGAAATTACCAATAAATTGTTGTATAAATTTGTGTTGGAGTAACAAAATCAACAAGAATTGTAACAGAACAGAGACATGTTTCAACATTTCCGAGGATAAACTCGTCCAAATTGAGAACAACTTCAGAAAGTCGAGCCTGCGCTGAAACGCGTTCCGTGGCTTGTTTAGATACCTGCCCCTCCCCCCGCCGATCAAACCCCGTGGCCCTTCCCTATTACGTGCCGTTAACCGCGTGCCTGCAGTTTGCATAACACGGCAAACTGATTCGAACACAACATGTTAGTCGCGACCTCACGCCGAACAATAAGCTCTTAGCAAATAATATTATTGGAGTCAACTAACATAACATTGATCTAACATAAGTTATTTAAAAACAATGGATGGTTTAAAGCTAATTAGAGCTATGTAGCTATCAATAAAATCAATAACTATGCTTTATTTATAGAATAAGGATGACACACAGTGACAGTGAGCACACAGTCGAGAATCAAAATAACTGAGGACTAAAAGGCTCCTTTTTACTGAAAACGAGGCTGGAATGCCTCGTTTTCAGTAAAAAGTTCTCTGGTTCTCTTTTTTTCGATGGTACGAGTAAGTGGTTGCTGTGGGCCATAGACATCTACATCTATCCTCGTTTTCAAATAAAATGCAGATGCGTTGTCACCCGTGAGGACTAAGATGGAATGCCTCTTTTCCAGTAAAAAGGGTCTCCGGTTCTCTACATTCACCAAACAAAACACAGCAGCATTAAAGTGCTATTTTACGCTGGTATTCTGTGAGAGCGTAGTTCTTCCCCGGTCGAGCCGACCCATTCTTGCTTCAACTGTACTATTGATATAGCTGTAGCATGGCTCTACCACGTATGAACTCTCTACACTCACCATTCGATACACAACATTATTCTGCTGTTTTACGCTGGTATTCTTGTGGAGTGTACCTCGGTCAAGCCGACCCATTCATGCTACAACCATAATTTAAGTGAAAGATACATTCCACCGTTTCCATTTCATTAGTCCTCGTGGGTGAAGACTTATCAGCAATTTGATTGAATATCCACTTACCATCAGGTAGACGGTGTGCTCGTTTGTCATTCTTATTCTATAAAAAATGGGTTTCATGGACTGTGGCCTGTAGTAGCTACTTATCATCAGGTGTTTAATCTACTAACAACGTGCGTCGCTTATGGTATGATCCCACATTCCATTCAAACTTGTTTAATGGGATGTGCGAAATTTGTTTTACGTGGTAGAGCTATACTGCAGCTATATTATGGCAGTAGCACGTACCAGACCCTCGTAATTATCAAAGTCAATTATCAAGTTATTTTATAGAACTAGGGTGAAAAGCGAGCACGGATTCAACCTTACGGTTAGTGGATGCTGTGACCTTTAAACACCTGTATCTATTATGAATTAAGAGTAAAAATGCAGAAGTGTTATCACCCCTGAGTACTACGATAAAATGTCTCATTGCTTCTACAAAGGGATACTCTCTCTACATTCACTTTACGAAAACAGCAGCATTGTTTCATTACGTCATCACAGCACATTTGATACTGGTATATTTTATTATTTTTTACTGGTTGATCTCACAGAATACCAGTATTCTGGGAGATCAACCGAGGAAATACGACGCATCCTCAGTTGAGCTGACTCATTCATGCTGCAACCATACAGCTTCAGCATGGTTCTACCATGTAAACATTGCATCGATCACTGCTTCTTGGCATATAAATAGGTAAGAGACTGGTATGTCTTAGATAGAAAAGGACTTTTATCACCTAGAACATACTTAACATAAAATGTTTATTTTATATTTCAATTCATACGCCATATGTCTAACAACATTTATAAGGCTACCGGAAATCGTTGTATACGTTATCCAAGAAATTAAGTGACGGATTCAGTGAATCAAAGTTTCTTTGCTTTTAGTAGATCTGGAGTGCTTTTGCTTTAGTAGTTTCTATTGTTTTAAAACATCCAATGAAAATATTAATAGCTAAGTTGTAATATTAGTTGTAAGGAAAAACAGTACGTTAGGCTCATAACGTAGATTTTTTTAAAAAGAAGCAGTCAAACGGGTCGTGTTCGGTGCGTCACAATGTAATACGAGTGTATAATAGATAGTTCGGCCAACTCGTAAATAAAGCGAGCCAAGTGCGCCGGCGGCTGCGATAACTCTGTTTGAGGCTGCGCGGTGCGGTGTAGTCCGGAGAACGGATCTCGGCCGCTCGCTAGATAATTGTCGTGTTGGAGTTGACCAGCGTCCGTGAGTTCATGTACACTAAACACAGTACAACTAAGAAGAAAAGTGATTATAGTGTAACATGTAACGTGTTAACAAAAGACTTATGTAGCATCCCATTCAACTCTCTAAAACTCTATGTTTGTCCTGTTCCAACATATTACCGTGACTCACCGACCGAAATCGACGTCAAACAACAAACGCACAAATACGTGGACAATTTTCACAGGTGAAAATGTAGAGCTTTCGGCAGCGCACGAGTTAAAAACAACAAAACCGTCACAACATGATCCGAACGAGCGCAGTAAGCTCCGCGCGCGCGCCCGCTCACCTTGCAACTTCTTCTCTGTCTCCCAGAACTTTTGCAGCTCAGTGAAATACTTGTCGAGGATGAACACCTTGGAAAGGCCGAGCGTGGCCATGGCGGGCGGCACGCTCTCATCACACTCCGCGGCCGCGCCGCTTTTAGCCGATAGCGGCGACCTCTCACGCGCGCGTTCTTTCGCGTACTGCGGCACCGCACCCGCCCGCGCCCCGCCCTCGCCACCCCGCGCCCCCAAACCACCGCACACTATGTCCGCCTTCAGTGACACCTACTTTTGGGCTAGACCTAACACGATCATAGACCACATTCATATTGGGTCTTACACTGGAAACAGACTCCATTTTATATATAACCAGTGAAAGAATTTTGAAATAAAGTTCCTAAAAAAAATTACTAAGTTTTGGATTACAAAATGAGATCGAATACATTCAAAATATTTTTATAACCTGCTATCAAAGTAGTAATTAGTCGAACAAGTTAGTGTTAGTGTCAACTTGTACATTAAAGAGAAAGCTTGAGTTAAATCTTACATAGCGAATCCCTTACATTCACGCAGGTCGCTTTTGAGAGGCGACGCTAAAGGTTCATTTCATGCATTTAAGCGGATAATATGAGCAGGCGCAGCAGGTGGGGCGGGCGCGGCAAGCGGGCGGGAAACAGGTTTGTTTGTTTGTAAGCTCGCCGAAAGCTGCGCCCTATCACTCCCTCCACCACCCCGCAGCCCCCGCGCGTTCTTGAGCTAATGTCTCGCACCGTTACCAGCTATCGGCTAGATACTTTGGCATACATATGAAAATTCAAATCCAATCAAAACTATAAATACAACGTAAATAGCAATAAACACATTGATAAATTCCCAGTAGATCAGACTTTAAATAGATCACCTTATTGGAGATTTTATAAACCCACGTAATTTAAATATATATCCCCAATAAATCATACATGTTTCTAATTGAGTATAACTGTGGGCTTGATAACGTTTCTTTTAAAACATAAGTTCCATTATCTAAGCTAGTCCTTCAAATTTTAGAAGTTATTCGTCCAACCCGGTGGCGCAGGCGACTCACTCGTCTTCCGTTGCCGAAACAATTTGGCTGAATTCCACACGCTAATTGAAAGAACCAAGAGAATTTAGCACTTGAGAGTTAATGCTGCTTGCAAATAGTGTGAACATAGGGGTTTGAAAAGATTAATATAACTAATATAGTTATAGTAGTAGTATATAATATAGTTTACCAATCGGTTGAACAAGAAATTAATAATTGAGAAAAAACCCTCAATAAAAATCGAAAAGAAGTTAGTAAGCTCTTGCTTACAAATTTTTCTTGATCTGTACAAATTTTTTTCCTCCTTTGTTTTAATTTAGTGAAAAAGAATTGGTAAGCGACCGATCCACCTGATGATAAAAGGTAATCACTACAGTCCATAGACCACCTGTAGCCAAATTCTAACAAATTTACAAAACTCCAGGTGTGACTAAAGACATAATACCTCATAAGCTGTTATTTTTTTTCTCTTTATTTGGGATTACAAACAATTGTACAATATAATTCTATTATTAAACACTATGTTTAAGCTTAATAATCATACAATCAACACCGTTATTGACATATTACTATTGGATCAGTGTACTAAATAATTAAAATTAAAATTTTTAATGTTCTAATTAAAACGACCCGTTCACTAGTCAATACAGAGAAAAGCAAACTGATATATATATATATATATATATATATATATATATATATATATATATACTGTATGAGCTTATCATCATCATTAAACAAACCATCCTCATTATTATTCCATGTAGGACCGTTAAATGACGTACCTATGAGATGTACCTATTAGAAAATGGTTTGGTGTGAGCGCTTCTGGATAATTAATTACAAACGTGCGTGATGGGGCGACTGTTGACCAAAGCCTCCACTTCTTTAAGCAAGGTGGACAGTGCCTCTGAACTTGGAGCACGCTCCTTGAGAACGACTTTCAGTGCGGTTTCAACCGTACAAATCATCCGCTCCCAAGCTCCACCCATTTCAGGTGCTGGTGGTATAAAATGCCCCTAACTAAACCGTCATAATGTAATTTAACCACTTCAGTTCTCTAAAACTACGTTTCAGTTCGGTAACAGCACTTCTGAAGTAAGTCACCTTTGTCTGAGTAAATAACGCTCGCACATCCAAGTCCAAAATCGACACTTGTGTTTGTACTATATAAATAAAAAAACTTTGTATGTTGCGATTTTGAGTTCACTTTTACACATTTCTATACTTATAAATTAGTGACCCAGCCACGGCATCGATTTGATGGGATCTATTAAGGTGGCATTATTGAGATTAAGATAAGCAAAGACCATTAATTCTTTTATCATATTTTCATGTTCATATTTTTCTGATACGATATAGCCTTGATCCCTCATAGCATTGCTCTCTGTCTGTTCGTAAAGTTTCATCACAATCGGTTCAGCCATTTCGTAGATTAGCCCGAACGGACAGACAATTTTTTTATACAATTTGGGTAAAAAAGAGCACACTGTACGTGGTAAAGCCATGCTGAAGCTATATTAATAGTATAGTTGTAGCACGAATGGATCGGCTCGACCGGGGAAGGACTACGCTCTCACAGAATACCAGCGTAAAATAGCAGCTTAACACTGCTGTGTTTCATATGGTGATTGTATAGAACCGCAGACCCTTTTTACTGAAAAAGAGGCACTCCATCTTAGTTCTCACAGGTGACAACGCATCTGCATTTGATTCGTAAACGGGGATAGATGCAGATATCTATGGGCCACAGCAACCACTTTTTTATAGGATAGGGTGACAAACGAGCACATAGTCCACCTGATGCTAAGTGGTTGCTTCGGCCCATAGACATCTACATCTATCCTCGTTTGCGAATCAAAATGCAGATGCGTTATCACCCGTGAGGACTAAGAATGCCTCTAATGCCTCACTTACCATCAAGAGGACCGTGTGCTCGTTTGTCACTCTATCCTATAAAAAAACACTGTCCACGTGATAGTAAGTGGATGCCGTGGCCCATAGAAATCTACATTTATTCTCGATTAAGAATCAAAACACAGATGCGTTGTCGCCATTGAAAAATAATATGAAATGCCTCGTTTCCAGTAAAAGTGTTCCTGTTTCTCTACGCTCACCATACGAAGCACAGCAGCATTAAGCTGCTATTTTACGCTGATATGCTGGTCGAGCCGACCCATTCGTGCTACAAACATTTAAAATTTTAAGAGCCTTGCAATATAAGATAAGGCGTGATAATAAGGCGTGCTAATAAGGCGTGCTATTCAATTTATCGATAAAATTGTATTTTATGTATAATATCAATAAAATGAACTCTTAGCTTAACAACACTTGTTGCTGGTACTAATTTATAATTTCTCTGCTGTCCCGTTAGGCTCTCGCAAAGAATGTTATCAGCGACGACAAGACGTAATCTTTAACCTGCGGCATGTTCAGGGACCACATCAATACGTCTCACAAGTAGCTTTGTATTATGTGATGTAACTACATAGTTTTTACAGTAATAATAATTTAATGATTTCTTATATTTACGCGAAGACTACACATTAATTGATACTATTTTTTACGGATTTTATCGCGTTTAAGTTTTTATTTCCCCACGTTTCGAGTGCTTTACAGCACCCATGATTACGGAGGGGACTGAGGTGTTTGACGTCCCGATGGCATAGTTAACCGCGGCTACCTTCAGTTTTTGAATATTAATTTTTAGTGCGATCTACGTAGAATGAGCTTAAATTAAAAAAAAAAAAAACATTTTAATTTCAATAGAGATGATGGATGGGTGCTGCCATCTGCTTGGAATCCTATAATTAATATAATTAAAAATTAAAAATGTTGTACTGCCTACTTCAATATAATGTATTAAGAATAACTCAAAAACTATTAGTCTGACCTTAATCAAATTCATATGGGGCCACACGAGAAGTATCAGCTTTCAAATAAAAAAAGAATCATCGAAATCGGTTTACCCAGTAAAAAGTTATGAGGTAACAAAAAGCAAAAAAAAACAAAAACATACAGTCAAATTGAGTACCGTCTCCTTTTTGGAAGTCGGCAGAAAATTAAATCCAAACCCAAGACTACCACTACAAGAGTTCAAGATACTGTAAGCTCATTCTGCGTAGATCGGACTAAAATTAATATTCAAAAACTGAAGCTATCTGGGCTAACTATCTCATCAGGACGTCAAACACCTCAGTTATGTGTACTATAAGTTATGTGTACTGTAAAGTATTTACTTTACTAATATTCCTTGTAATCCCTCCTGATAAGACCTCCAGACCGAATTGCGTTCACAGGGTCCAATCTGAATGGAGACTAGCCATTTGCACAGGACTGAAACATGTGCACTTTCTATTTTCTCATTCTCAAAGTCCGATGAGATGGGAATCCAACATGACTGGAGAGAGATCAGGCGCATGACCAACGGCTTTACGTACTAACATGACATGAGGATGAAATACCGCCAAGCTCCAGGCTGCTAGTGATAATTTCTTGACAGAAAATCAAATAACTGATTTTGGCTTGACCCAGGACTCGGACCAACGACCTCACGATCAGCAATCGTGATTACGACCACTAGACCAACGAGGCAGTCGTTGTCATTTAATTATAGATACATGAAGCTACCCTCATGAGTCTACTCGTCACTTTAGTGTACATTTTATCCCACTTTAAGTTAAGACATATTAATAGCACAAACCTATGTAAGATGCCCATGCCCATGCCCAAGAGCCCATGGCTCCAAAAGTACAGTTTTATACCAGTTAGTTTCGTAATACTGGTCGCAGCAAAGTCTGTGGATTCATTGCAACATACGATATTGTAATATTTTTATGTCAAAATACATTATATAATTTATTTATCACATAAACATATTTGCCAACATTAAAAGCGCACCTGAGATTTTCAGTGAGTTTGAGAGGTTCTATGTGCAGCTGCACACGTCATTGCTGGAGCTACCCGCAAGTGTGAGTAACGATCCAAGAGCAAGTCTTATCCAACACTATTCCGATGATATCCCGGACGTCAGTCTGAGCGAGATTAGAAT